CCATACTGAAAGTCATCGTTTGTATTCGCTCTACCAGTCTGTGAGTTAGTGTCGCCAGTGGGGTTTATAGAGAGGGAACCAGTCGTCGGTCACTTTCTTTGGTTTCGGCATCTTCGCCAGTTTCAGCAACATAATCTGTTGCACTGTATCAAACATTCCAGTAACAACATCGTTGTCACATTAGTATTATAAGCAGTAGGTCAACTATATTTGGTTCCTATGGAATTATGTCTGCCAGAATTAATTTGAACTTGCCCTAAATTTTATGGTTCACAGTTTAGTTTTCTTGTTTAGGTCTGATTCTCAGATACTATAATCAATAGGTTAATTACATTTGGTGTATGGAATGATTGTAAGGCATACAGGTCCATCTGACGGTGTTAATCTGACCTTTATCTCCTGTTCATGCATCATTGTTAATGTTAGTTTATGTCATACTTGTTTTATAACCCTTTTTCTAAAACTTTCAATCATAATCAGTAAATCAGGCCAGACATTTTAAATATGTGCACTCTTATATGTTATCTTGAAAATTAAAGGGGCTAGGTTCAAAATGTAAAAGGAGGTTTGGCCCAAAATTTTAAGTCTATTATTTCAAGATGAAAAGCGTTCCAAATTGATGCATGTATGTGTGAGAAAGTGAAATGGGCAACATTTATCCAGTTTTCTTACAAAGAATTGCCAGTTACACCTCAATTAGGTCGAAAATAGAGATTTTCTCCTTGATTTCATCCACAATCAGGCCTAACAAACAGTGCGCAGGCCTCAACAGACTGAATATTTAAGTCCGATATTTCATTTGTCATAACAAACATTATGCGCTATATTATTGAAATGTTCGTGTTTTCATTGAATTTGGTAAAAAATTAAGATGTGGGCAAATTATGAGGTTATAAAAAGAACACTGTTCAATACGTAAATTTTAAACAAAAATATCTATGCCCTATATAGCCAATGTTAAAGTTATGATACATTGCGATAATGGCTGTTAAATCCTTATTTGAAAATTAAGCTAGAAATAGGGGCCATATTCGGGCCTTATCAATCGTTGTCAAGAAATCGCACGAGGTCGACATAATGCGCCGTTTTTCCAATCAATCAAGGTCCATATAACTCCTTAACGGCAAAAGTAAAATTCGTCACGTCCTAATTTTTACGGAAATCTTATTAATCGAGCCCGCAAAATTTAGATACGTCCCGGGTAAACTATTCAATCCTTTAAATAAACTTGTTCTAAAAGGTTACCAATTCAACACTGTAATAAGATCTTTGAATATTGTTTTTATTGGTATTAATATTGACTTTGTTATCAATAAATTAAAACTAAATATTATTGTTATACACCTATGAACATTCGCGGTCCTATATTCTGTTGACACCTTTATTTTGGCATTAAACAAGATCTTGTTTTTCTCTGTTAAATAACGAATTTACTCTAAATCTATTGGATGTTAGATGTGTACTGATTGATATTTTAGTCTTTGATACATGATTTTTTTAATAGTTCTTATAGGATTTGAACTAGCTTGACTCTCAGATCTCAGATCTGTACTTTGTGTATTTAGTGGTTTTTAAACGACCGCAAAAATTAAAAATTTTTTGGTTGTATATTGGTATGACGTTGGCGTCGTCGTCGTCGTCGTCTGGCGTCGTCCGGCGTCGTCCGAAGACACATTGGTTTTCGCACTCTAACTTTAGTTTAAGTGAATGGATCTCCATGAAATTTTACCATAAGGTTCAATACCACGAAAGGAAGGTTGGGATTGATTTTGGGGGTTATGGTACCAACAGTTAAGGAATTAGGGGCCAAAAAGGGGCCAAAAATAAGCATTTTTGTAACTTCCAGACAATAACTTGTGTGTAAGTGTATGGATGGAAGGCTGTAATTGATTTTGGGGGTAATTGCCTCAAAATTTTAGGAATTAGGGGCCAAAAAAGGGGCAAAAAACAAGCATTTTTCTAGTTTCATGACAATAACTTGTGTGTAAGTGTTTGGATATTTCCGAAATTGTACTACAAGGTTCCATATCACAAAGGGAAAGCTGGAATTGAGTTTGGGGGTAATTGCCCGAAACGTTTAGGAATTGGGGGCCAAAAAGGGGCCAAAAATAAGCATTTTTCTAGTTTCCAGACACTAACTTGTGTTCAAGTGTATGGATCTCTCTGAAATTGTACTGCAACGTACCATACTACAAAGGGAAGGCTGGGATTGAGTTTGGGGGTGATGAATCATAAGGGGGTTCAAAAATTTGGGGGGGGGGGATTTTTTTATTCTTTTTTTTTCTTTTTTTCTTTTTTTTTTCTTTTAAAATTTTCCATTTTAAGTTGGTTATTTCTGATTTATATTTAAAAGCAAATAATAATGATATGGTAGGAGATACACACCAAACAGGATGTGTAAATTATTATATAATAAGTATTGTGCAATAGCAAGAAATTTTCAATTGCACAGTATTGCACAATAGCAAGAAATCTTCAATTGCAAAGTATTGCGCAATAGCAAGAAATCTTCAATTGCACAGTATTGCGCAATAGCAAGAAATATCCAATAGCACAATATTGCGCAATAGCAAGAAATTGTCAATTGTACAGTATTGCGCAATAGCAAGAAATATTCAATTGCACAGTATTGTGCAAAAGAAGATACTTCGTATAAATTGCTTATTTCTTGATCAATGTCAATGGGGTTTTATTCTTGAATTCTTGGGGTTCTTAAATATGCTGAATCTAACCGTGTATTAAGTTTTTGGATTTTGGGCCCCGTTTTTAAATTGGTCCACATTGAGGTCCAAAGGGTCTAAAATTTAACTTTGTTTGATTTCATCAAAAATTGAATTATTGGGGTTCTTTGATATGCCGAATCTAACCGTGTATTTAGATTCTTAATTTTTGGTTCCGTTTTCAAATTGGTCTACATAAAGGTCCAAAGGGTCCAAAATTAAACTTAGTTTGATTTCAACAAAAATTGAATATATGGGGTTCTTTGATATGCTGAATCTAACCATGTATTTAGATTTTTGATTATGGGCCCAGTTTTCAAGTTGGTCCAAATCGGGGTCCAAAATTAAACTTTGTTTGATTTCAACAAAAATTGAATATATGGGGTTCTTTGATATGCTGAATCTAACCATGTATTTAAATTTTTGATTATGGGCCTAGTTTTCAAGTTGGTCCAAATCGGGGTCCAAAATTAAACTTTGTTTGATTTCAACAAAAATTGAATATATGGGGTTCTTTAATATGCTGAATCTAACCTTGTATTAAGTTTTTGGATTTTGGGCCCCGTTTTTAAATTGATCCACATTGAGGTCCAAAGGGTCCAAAATTTAACTTTTTTGTTTGATTTCATCAAAAATTGAATTATTGGGGTTCTTTGATATGCCGAATCTAACCGTGTGTTTAGATTCTTAATTTTTGGTTCCGTTTTCAAATTGGTCTACATAAAGGTCCAAAGGGTCCAAAATTAAACTTAGTTTGATTTTTTACAAAAATTGAATTTTTAGGGTTCTTTGATATGCTGAATCTAAACATGTATTTAGATTTTTGATTATGGGCCCAGTTTTCAAGTTGGTTCAAATCGGGGTCCAAAATTAAACTTTGTTTGATTTCAACAAAAATTGAATATATGGGGTTCTTTGATATGCTGAATCTAACCATGTATTTAGATTTTTGATTTTTGGGCCCCGTTATCAACTTTGCCCACATTGAGATCAAAAGGGTCTAAAATTAAACTTTGTTTGATTTCATCAAAAATTGAATTCTTGGGGTTCTTTGATATGCTGAATCTAACCATGTATTTAGATTTTGGATATTGGACCATAATAGGTGAATGTCCAATTTGAAATTTTTAAGTTCTTAGACAACATTCATTCTGTGTCAGAAACCTATGCTGTGTCAAATATTTAATCACAATCCAAATTCAGAGCTGTATCAAGCTTGAATGTTGTGTCCATACTTGCCCCAACTGTTCAGGGTTCGACCTCTGCGGTCGTATCAAGCTGCGCCCTGCGGAGCATTTTAGTTTTAGTTGTTTTTGTGCTTTGTATCGATCTGATGAATTAAACTCCTTTAAACTGAGTTTGTTCGTATGTTGTGCTGTTAAAATGTACACCAATGTCCCAGGTTTAGGGGCACCCGCAAACATGTATAACCACATTATGTGTGTGCCTGTCTCAAATCAGGAGCCTCTTATTCAGTGGTTGTCGTTTGTTGTTGTATATCATATTTTTTTTTTTTTTTTTTTTTTTTGTACATAAATCAGGCCTTTAGTTTTTCCCGTTTGAATTGTTTTACTTTTGTCATTTAATTTATAGCTTACTATGCGGTGTGGGTTTTGTTCAATGTTGAAGGCCATACGGTGACCTACATTTGGTAACTTCTAAGTCATTTGGTCTCTAGTGGAGAGTTGTCTCATTGGCAATTATACCACATCTTTTTATTTTTATATAATATAAAAGTATTCAAAATAAATTAAAGCCAAAATACTAATCATGTTTTTTTTACATATTCTACGACGTACTAAACGAACTGTACAAGAAACGAAGGACAAAACAAAGATCTATACACCTAACATGTACATGTGTGACGTTCTATCTAACAGTCAACAAGAAGACATGTCACTTAAAACTCGACAAATTATTCAGAAAATAAAACGACCAATAATTGTAGCTGCTGGCCTAGTAGTGAAAGAGATACCACGAACTACAACAACCGATGCAATCCCCTGGCCATCAAGTCAGTTTAATCAAGAAGGTCATCCAGATATCAATATGGCTGAAAACGAAAGTCGATCCTTTGGGGTCTGCGTTTCAAACCTTTTTGCACTGGTATTCTCGTTGAAGCTTGAACCTAAAAAGTTCTCTTAACACATTTGAAATGCTTGAGATTCACTTGTGTACCGTTTTAACAAGTCTTCATTTGTGTAAATCGGCATAACTAAAATGTTTTATTTGTGCGAATCATTTTTGTTTTATTAATACGCATAAGTTAAAACAATGTAATATCTAAGACATACAACTTTATGCGTTTTGTTTTCATAACACTTAATTTTTCTTACATCTTGAAAGCTTAAAAGATTAAACTAACAAAGGATGCGTCAAAATGTAAAAAAAATAGATAAATAACAATAAAGAATTGATTGGGAAAAAAAAACAATTCAGTTTCTGTCATCATTGGTTAAAATGTCTGCTTCGAATGATTTTTCTTTTAAAGTCTTCATTTCGTCTTGGAATGTGACTATTGTTGGTTTTCTTTCATATTTGTATTCATGAATGTTGCTTGGATCCTGAAGCAGACGATAAAAAGCGGAGGTTGATATCTGTCGATCGATTACAATTTGGCTTTTTCTTTTAGATTTATTGAGCAAGAGTTTCCGTTCTCGTTCTTGTTTCCTTCTAGTCTCGATCATCCAGCCGCTTTATTTTTCAAAGTATAGCGTCTGGATGACAAGTGATATAAAAATGGTTATTTATGACATTCGGAATAGTATCGGCTTTTTTAGCTTGTTTTTAAAGATAATGTCCAAGACGAATAACCAAGAAGTTGGTTATTGACTTCGGAAGAAATGACATTACGATAATATTATTGAAAAGTCCGAGTGTATCGATTGTTGTTTAAAGCTATTTATATTTTTTTGTGACGACATACAAGTCATGGAAAACACCAGACAGCATGGCTTGCATGGCCACGAAGGAAAATAACAGCACATCCAACCTTGGTAAGATGATATAACAGAAACTGTTACTTAAATTTTAATGCAACCTGATACACCGAGTAGTTATATTCTTTCATGCATGTCCGTGCTACGCAAGCGAGTTAATAATTATACAATAAATGGCAATTTTTGTATTGAATGGGACCACTCGAACAGTCGTATACGCTATAAATACATTTTGGGGTTGATATGTAGTATCTTTAACTTTATAAATACTTGATGGAAAATTTGCTTTGACGCCGAAATGTGACCTTCATCCAAGATAAGTTTGTTGTATCTATTTGTAATAGGGAGTTTGCATCTTGATATGTGTAAAAAAGGGGGAGGAGAGATACACAATGATGTACACATTCAAAGGAGGGAACGCAATCCAAAACCATGAGTAGAAGAAAAACAAAGTGTATCTAGAAGATGCCATTGTGTACATACACCAAACGGTCAAAATGATTTATACTCCATTTTTTTTAAAATATACTGTTAGTAAACAAAGTCTGGATCGGTCAACTTAAAATAGAAAAATACATTTTTTGCACTTTTATTGCACTTTTAAAAGGCATTTTTTCACACACAAAAAAGTTCATGAATGAATAAAAATGTCAGGGAAGATACCAAGTGGCTATCTTAACCTGTCACTATATTTTTCTTAATGTTGATGGCATGAGAAAATCACTGAAAATTCGATTTTCTGCAAAATAATAGACAGTAAAACAATAGATTCAGCATCAATGAAAGGTGTAAATGAGGCAACAACCGGTGAACCAAATGACATGCATTACCAAAAGTAGACATCAACATGATTAAGAGGTCATCATGTAGACTAAGACAAAAAGTGAAGATAAAAGTACCAAAAAGGTCAACAATATACAAATAAGAAGATGCAGTATAAATACCAATGAGACAATTATCCACCCAAGTTCAAATGAAGTCTTCAACAATGAGAAAAATTCATGTATGGTTTGGATAGAGAATACAAACAGGGAATGTGTCAAAGAGACACCAACCCGACCAAAGAGCAGGAAACAGCCAAATGCCACCAATGGGTTATGTCTTCAACGCAGCGTGATAATCTCGCATCCCGAAGCGGGATTCAGCTTACCCCAAGACATTTTTAAAAATATATTTCTATGATTTTTTTTTCAAACAATTTGTTTTTCATATATGCTATGCTGGTGACCAAAAATTAAAATGATTTTAATATTTACTTTCTTTTGTAGACAAATGATGATTTCTGGACACAGATGTTATGTGTAAAATGTGAAGAATTAAAAAAATATATATAATATTCGAATTTTCATTGTATCATAAACAGCTTCAATTTTATAAGAACAAGATTCAAAGATTTTTTTTTTTAATAACTGAAGCATCAATCAGTATAAATAAATCACAGTACCAAAAACGTTGGGTAAACATTATTTTGACAGCAACCACAAAACGAAAAAAGGTACACAGACGTATATTAAGTAAATAAAACAAAAACACATTGTTGTCAGAGAATTAAGATTAGTATAAACAAATTAAAAATTATATAAACAAGTAAACAGTTTGTTTTCACGTTTGAATTGTATCTCATTTTCATGTCGGGCCATTTTATAGTTAACTATATGATATGGAGTTTTCTTAATATTGAAGGCCGAGCAGTGAAACTGATTATATTTGCGTATATCCATGTCATTTGAACTCTGCTGGGTTGTTGTCTCATTAGCAATCATACCAATGTCCTTATTTTATATTAAGGTTCACACGTACAGGAGAAGTTATTGTTCTTGTGAAGCTGTCCTTTATTGCATGCTAATACATGATGGATATTATAATAGTTGGAGAAGTAGAATACACTTTTCAGTTATTATTTTTTTTTACAAGTTACCATGCAGTATGGGATAAATCCCATTCCATCTTTTCCATTTGCATGATTCAAACATGCATTCAAAGAGTATTGGGTTTCATGAATGACTAGTTAAGTTCTGTATTTCTCCATAGACACAGGGTAACACTGGCAAAGTGGTATTGTGTGAAGGTTGGTTCCTAAATATTTTCTTCACAAAAAGGATTAGGCGATATAGATTATTGGTGGAACAGTTAAGAAACATTCAGACTATTCTGTCGTTTTCAGTTTTAAGATCAGTTAATTTTGTAAATAAAAATTGAGTTGGCTCATTGTGTGATCGATCAGTGATAAGTTGTTAAGGAAGTTTTTCTACATTGTAATCTTAGCATTTGTATGAGTTGTTTTTCTTTACATAAACGTAACTTGATGTGTGCTTTTTTTGTAAGGTAAGTGCATCAGATATCTGAAAGAATATATAAAAAGGAAAGCATAAATTATAACAAGAACAGAAATAAGAATAATGAGACAAAACGAAGAAAAATGGATAAAAAATAAAGAATACAGACTAACGGTGATACAATATACTGACTGTCGGTTGCTTAACGTCAAGTGGCAAATATCTCATGCATGTCCAGGACGATGTGATACAATATAAAGAATAGAGAATAGTGGTGTGCTATAATATGAAAAATAGAGAATAATGTTATTTTATAGTATGAAGATAAGAGAATAACGTGGTGTGCTATAATATAGGATAGATCGATTTTGGGTTGCTTGGTTATCGTCTTGTGGTAAATAATGGTAATGTTCAGGACGAAAAAAAATAACAATAAATATAAAAAAGGAGGTCCTAAATTATAGCCCGTTCGGGATACAGATCGGAGAAATTATGACTCACTAGAAAATTAGGGTATATTGTATTGAGGCAGAAATTTAGCTTTATGTACAACGGTCCACCTCCGGATCCCTCTCTTAGTGCACAGAGAGCTCGGTATCCTCTTATACACGAACAGTGTCGGATCCAGAACTTGTTTTAAGGGGGGCACTACAGTCATGCTACACTGAGTGTTTCTTAATATAATTAACCAAATTTTTCCCACGAAAAGGGAGGGGGGGAGGCTGGATCCGTCTATGACGAGTGCTATAACATTTAGACAGGGTCGTAACTAGGCCTCAGAATCAAACGAGGCATGTGTTTGGGTGCCGCCGACTGAGGCAACCAGGTGTGACCCCCCCCCCCCCCCCTTTTGGCCACAAATTGTAATATTAGGGGTCGAAATATAATACCTTGTTACATCCGTTTTTGTATCATATTTACCGTTTTTTGTTTCATATTTACCGTAACGAAGAACTGCATTAGGTTAGCTATCAGAGCAGGCTGACAGATACTTGCCTAGAATCTTGTTCCATCAAACATCATATCCATTTTACAGCAGAGGTTCATGTTTGATAGTAGAAAAAGCGGAACAAATGTGAGGCCAACGCTTCACTAAAAATAACACAAATTTTAAATAACACTTTATAAACAAAGCCGCCAAAGAATGGAACCTAGTCACTGTCTGTGAATTCTAGTTCGACCTTTCTTTACCAATTCACGTTTTTCTTTAAAAAAAAATGTACATGTACGAAATTCAGGAAAAAAAGATCACCGTTAATTACAGTTTTTGATAGTTTTTTTTTAAAAAATTTAAGCTAGAAAAGTAGTTAATGATAAAGTCTTAGATAAAAATCATGACAAAATAAGGTTAAAACTTATATAAAGTACTTTAAATCAACGAAACAAATGTCCGAAATCTGAATATTAAGCTATAAGTACGGCCAATTAAAGCTTAATTTTGACTATACTTTATTAAGTGTTTATAAATCACCGAGACAAGAACTCTGAGGACAAGAATACGTGTGAAATGGTTTTTTAAGTAGTTTTATTTATTTGACATCACGTCTGTATTAAAATTGCCCATCAGCAAGTTGGGCAACATAGGGTGAGCTACAAGAATGTCAGTTTTAATAATCTACATGTACACTGTTTACTGTTTTGTTTTTTTAAATCAAATTGGGGATAACGGAAGTGCTATTTATAGATATGTTCTATATTCAATTATTTGTTACGCCCCCTATAAATATCTGACCAGTCCGGTTAATCACCCCAGACGCTATATTTAAATATGCGTCTGGGTAATCGAGACTAGTTTCCTTCGTGGATCTGTTTGTACTAATCGTCGATAAATATCGGTTTTGAAGATGGATCTGTCCCATCCAATGTCATAGACTTTAGTTTCAACTTTAATGTGTTGAGAAGTTTTTGGAGTATAAACGTCTCGTTTGTTGAATCCATGTTGTAAAGTTTTGAAATATGGAGTCGAATAGTTTGTATTTAACACATGATGCCATGCACATTTTTCCTTCAACGATTTGCAAGTTCGATTTATGACTTTCTCCGTTAGCATTTCAGTTTCCTTCTTCTGCTGATCAAAAATGGATTTTAATTTTTCAGTTTTTGCAATTTCCACAAGATTTGCTTTAACCGCACGATCTCTTGTATTTGAGGAAATTTTTAAAATAGAGGAGCACAACGATCCCTTTCCTAAAGGCACAAGTCCTTGGCGGTTTGTATGGTAACGATACATGGCTTCTCTCATGGTATTTCTATAGTGTCTTTCCCTGAAATCAATAAAACGTTATGTTTTTGGTAAAGCTATATACCTTCTTTCCAATGCAAATTACTAAGACATCGACCATAAAATTGAGAATGGAAATGGGGAATGTGTCAAAGAGACAACAACCCGACCACAGAACAGACAACAGCAGAAGGCCACCAACAGGTCTTCAATGCAGCGAGAAATTCCCGCACCCGGAGGCGTCCTTCAGCTGGCCCCTAAACAAATATATATACTAGTTCAGTGATAATGAACGCCATACTAAACTCCAAATTGTACACAAGAAACTAAAATTAAAAATAATACAAGACTAACAAAGGCTAGAGGCTCCTGACTTGGGACAGGCGCAAAAATGCGGCGGGGTTAAACATGTTTATGAGATCTCAACCCTCCCCCTATACCTCTAGCCAATGTAGAAAAGTAAACGCATAACAATACGCACATCCATCTTTGTGTGGGCATTGGTGTTGATTTATTAACAAACAGGAATTCTTTTAAACCAATGTTGTTTTTACATTTATTTCACTTCCATTCTGAAACGAATTGTTTTGTTTTTAAGCAATTTAGAGTCGATCATTTTATTTAAAATAGTCAGCCCCTCACCCCATAAAAGATCAATGGTCGGTGGTTATCAATCAAATCTAGACTGGAACATTTTTTTTCTTTCGGTTTACATTCACCCCTGAACTTGTGTCACGTAATTTACTCTAAAATCGGTATCATAAATTGTTTTTCGTGAACAAGAAGTTCCTGGATTTCTTACATTCAACTCTTACAAGTTTTTAAGCACGTGTCTTAATTTCCATCGCTAAACTTTGACTAATATTTAATTCCCTTAAATGTTAACAAAGAATCTGATAAGTTATATTAGCCCAATTTATTTGCCATTAGTTTGTTTCTGCATGTTTTGTTAATTCGACCATCAAAAATTGTTACAATTTTATCATAACAAGGCTAAATATGTCTTTTAATCTAAATCATTTCACGTTCCTATTTCAGAGATTTTTTGGTAATAAAACATAAAAATTATAACATTATGTATGTAAAATGTGTCATGCAGTAATTTTATGTAATTCAGGTCAAAGGTAATTCATAGCTTAGAGTTAATGGGTTTTAATTAGAATTTTGAAAAAAATCAGAAATTTATCAAAATATAGGAAAGTTAGATGCAAATTTCAATATCTTGCAACAATTTGCCAAAATTGGATTTTTTCTATTTTTGACAATATCCATTTGTCTATTCACTGATGCTTATTTCTTGAAAAAATAAATACCACTTTAGGAGATTGATGGACGCATACTTCCTTCAAAATTCATTGTGGCCTACAAAAATTAAGGCCTTCTTTAACACTCTCTATCGAATAATCATTCGAGACAAATCTACCCTGACATGGTTTATTTTTGTCTATCCAGGTCATTTTTAGCAAATATAAGTTTGAATGGCCAGTAGCACTGTTAAAAATCAGAATTGATTGTTTTGAAACTATACACATTTTTCACTAGCATTTTAGTGATTTTTAGGCATTTATGCAAATGAGGCTGTTTCTATAAATAGACACAATGCAACAAAGTCTATAATAATAATAAGTTACATTTTTACCTTTCCTATATATATAAGATTCCAAAAGTATAAAAATATTTCAAAAGTTACGACATGCCATTTGGACAATATTTTGGATTTTGCATGGTTTTCTGGCAGACTGGCTCTTAATCTTAATCATTTCACGTTTCCACGTATTGTTACATCACTGACTTGAAATGAAAACAACACTTTATAATGCGTCCGAAGCGCTTTCATGGAATTTCGTCCATCGGGAACGCTCAAAGCCAAATATTTGAAATCCAAGGATTAATAAGTACCGAAACACGTGAAGAGCTATTAATGTTGATCAACAGGGAAACACGTGAAGAGCATTTAATGTTGATCAATAGGGACATAAATACAAGAGGCTCTCAAGAGACTGAATCGCTCACCTGTAATTTTTTGTTTAAATCTTTCATCAATGATTATTTTTGCTTTTCAATATATATTAAAGAATGGCTTAAAACTTCCATTCAAATGTTCTTTGTATCTGTCATATTTTCTTCAAAATCAAAGAAAAGCATTTTACCACTATGTTTCATTTTAGCCATAGTGGCTATGTTTCTTGACGTACAAGAAAATAAAATACAAAATTTATACTAGATACTCTGAAACTCATTCAGCCCAAGTTTTTTTCTGAAATTGATTAAGCAGTTTCAAAGGAGAAGATTTTTTAAAGTAAGCAAACTAAATGAACAAATTGTGAAAATTGATTTTAAAGGGCAATAACTCCTTAAGGGGACAATTGGCAATTTTGGTCATACGAACTTATTTGTAGATCTTACTTTGCTGAACATTTTTGCTGTTTACAGTTTATCTTTATCATTAATAATATTCAAGATAATAACCAAAATCTGCAAAATTTCCTCCTTAAAATTACCAATTAAGTGGCCAACAATGGGTTGTTAGATTCATCTGAAAATTTCAGGGCTGACAGAGCTTGGCCTAATAAACAGTTTTACCTCTCATCAGATTAGCTCTAAATGCTTTGGTTTTTGAGATATAAGCCAAAAATTGCATTTTACCCCTACGTTCTATTTTTAGCCATGGCGGCCATGTTTTTTTACGAAACAGAAAATAAAACACTAACTTTATTCTAGATACCCTTAGAATCATTCAGCTTAAGTTTGGTTGGAATTGGTTCAGTAGTTTCAGAGAAGAAGATTTTTTTAAGTTAAAAAACATGATAAAAAAATTGTGTAAAATTGTCCTTAAAGGGCAATAACTCCTTAAGGGGTCAATTAACAATTTGATCATATGAACTTATTTGTAGATCTTACCTTGCTGAACATTTTTGCTGTTCACAGTTTATCTTTATCATTAATAATATTCAAGATAATAACCAAAAACTGCAAAATTTCCTTAAATTTACCAATTCAATGGCAGCAACCCAACAATGGGTAATCAGATTCAACTGAAAATTTCAGGGCTGATAAAACTTCACCTGTCAGATTTGCTCTAAATGCTTTGTTTTTTTTTAGATATAAGCCAAAAACTGCATTTTACCCCTATGTTCTATTTTTAGCCATGGCGGCCATGTTATTTGACAAAACAGTAAATAAAGTACAAGCTTTATTCTAGATACCCTAAGCATCCTTCAGCTCAAGTTTAGTTGGAGTTGGTTCAGTAGTTTCAGAGAAGAAGATGTTTGAAATAGTTTACACCAGACGGACGACGACAGACGACGACGGACGCCAAGTGATGGCAAAAGCTCACCGTTCCGGAGGAACGGGGAGCCAACAATAGCCAATTGTTTATGTTTGGGCGTTCCTGATGAAGGTTGATATCGCTTCGGACGCACTAAATTTATAAGGTGACATTTACGAGGGTCGTAATGGGGATACCTTCGTGACGAATAACGGTAAAAAAATCTTACCAAATGACGTTAACGGTAATGTTTGGTGCATGACGATAAAACGTACACTTTCTTATAGACGATAAAAAAGTCGACTGATTTTGACGAATCACGTTTAATTTTTTCCCAAAAAAACGGTAACGATAATTATTTGAGACCTCTGAAGAATCACGATAAGGATATTTTGACGAATCACGGTAAAATTTTAACCAATTTGACGCTAACGGTAGCCGAAAATGACAGTTTGACGTCAGACGGTAAAGGGCATTCCTACCCTCATTTACATTAATGATTGTATTTCAAACTCAATTTAATGAAAGGATTTAAGATCGGAAGATCACCATCACCAGCCTTATTCTTACTATCTTCATGCAGTTTGTTGGAGAAATTAGAAATAGATGAAGGAACGGCCTTTTAGAATATTTGTTGATAAATGTATAGTTTATTCAAAGACTATTATAATAGTCCCAGGTTTATTTGAACAAGCGAACTGGAAAGGGTAATGACATGGTAACTCTTGTTTGATCTTTTCATTTATTCTAAAAGAATGTTTACAAATCAAAATTTAGTGTGAACTGGACAGCAAATATGTTTCTAAATTGTTTTCCGAATGCCAGTTTAACAGATTGGGACCAATCGCTGAAATTGGATATATAAAGACCCATACTCAAAATGAAATATAAATTTCCGGTAAAAAAATATATTGTAAATAAAAGTTGCGCGTCCTCGTCTAAACAAATGCACTTTTCTATATACAAAATTATTATTTTTGCAATGTAAATTTATGTTTATTTTTTTAACCCATTTGTGCGATTGCTTCCCACCCGTTTAAGTAAAAAGAGATCTGGCTTTAATATACACCATATACTTACTTTAAGAAGAGCAATTTTTTCAAGTTTATTTTCACTTTTTAATCAAAACTTTTCGAATAGTCAAATAGAAAGTTCATACCTTAAACATCGGGAGGAAATAAACTCATCATAGATACCAGGATTGAAATTTTGTATTTGCGCCAGACGCGCGTTTCGTCTACAAAAGACTCATCAGTGACGTTCAAATCAAAAAAGGTTAAAAAGGCCAAATAAAGTACGAAGTTGAAGAGCATTGAGGACCAAAAATTCCTAAAAGTTTTGCCAAATACAGCTAATGAGGTAGAAAAGCCCATTAGTATTTCAAAATTTCAAAGTTTTGTAAACATTTAATTTATAATTATGACCATATCAATGATAATTCATGTCAACACAGAAGTGCTGACTACTGGGCTGGTGATACCCTCGGGGAATAAAAACTCCACCAGCAGTGGCATCGACCCAGTGGTTGTAAATAAACTCATCATAGATACCAGGATTGAAATTTTGTATTTGCGCCAGACAATTTGAACATGCGAACTGTAACTAATAAAGGGTAACGACTGAAGTTCATCCAACTCATTTACTACCAGAGAATAGTGTAATCTTTCTCCGCAGACACTTTTTGGCATATATTTCTAAATATGTGTTTCCCAAATGATATTTGAAGTAAAAAGAGAACTTACTATAATGTACCCTATGTATTTGTTTTAAGAATAACCATTTATCAAGTTTTTTTAAAAGTTATAATCAAAATATCGTGAAAGTATACAAAACAGAAAATACATACCTAAAGCATCAGACGGAATTGTGTAATGTCGTCTGCAGATCTATATAAAGAACCGAGCAGACGTTAAAACCGGTGTATAATTTACAGTTTCGTGAAATCTATAAACATATTCAAAATATTAAACGAAGTGTAAGAGTTACATTTCAAGTTTCAAAAGCTAATTAATTAACTAACAGGTAAGTAAAGTCAACAGAATTTAATTGATTGACACGAGTTGCTGATTAGAAAAGCAAATAACAGGTACATGAAATGCAAACATATTTATCGGTAGCCGAACCTTTTTGAGCTTTTTACAGAAAACAGAACAATTTGTATTTAAATTGTATGTTTATTTATCGGTACAAAGCACAGCAGTCTACAAAAATCATAACAATTGTTATATTAAAATTTTGTCTTTGGCAATTCATAATCTTACTATAACAAACAAAATTTTAATATAACACAATTAAGGAGAGAATGGCGTTCGTATTTACCACTACGAAAATAAAAAAAAAATAGTCAATTGTACAACCGTACAGTTTTAAAGGTAAAAGTGTCAAAAACTTAGTATTGAAAATCACATGTTTAATGGAAGCGTTGCTGATTATTGAGGGTCTGTGTGGGGGGTCCTTCAATTCTGTTTTCTTTAATTTTTTAGACCATTTTTATGTATTCTTCATATTTTTATTTTAGCACCTCATTATTCTCTATTCTTTATTTTTTTTCCATTTTTCTCCATTCTTAATATTGTTTGCCCCTTATTCTCTATTCTGTGGACCCCCATTCACACCTGAACAAGAAATGCAACAATGAAAAATAAAACAAAAGTTACAATAACCACTCACTGCATAACAAAACAAGGACCTAGGTGTGAACTCAGATGCTCCACCAGAAGGACCCGTCATGTTGCTCATGACAAGGTTAAAAGTCGCATTCAGTAATGTTACGATCGAGGAAAAGAGGACCCGGAGGCGGATTTAGGGGGGGGGACCTTATGGAGCTATATTTATGGTTAATCTAGACTTTTTATCGGTTCCACTCCAAACTTTGTCTAGTTTGGGGCCCGCAGGCCCCCTTTTTCAAAGTCCTGGATACGCATCTGCCGACCAGATTGTGGCAACGTCAAGTAGAATATATCCGTGGTCATCTGTGACAGACTTTCCATGACGAAAAACCAAAGCATGATGGCGTCTTTAAAACTAGCGACTTTACCATTGAGAACGCTGGCTTAATAGCTTTCTTTTAGCAGAAACCCAATATCAAGTAAAACTTGAACAAGAAAGCCAACCCCTGGCATATCGTATTAACTAGAAGATATACAGCTGACTCTCGTTATCTTAAACTCTTTTAGCTCGAAATATCTGTGATGTTTTTTTTCCCAATTGATAGTTTTGTATTATACCTGTATTTACTCTAGATCTCTCCAAATTCCTGATACCGCAAATAAGTTTTATCAGTTCAATCAAGTTTGAAATATACCTTCATGTGCTACTTTTAGAAATAAATGGGGTCGAAATGTTAGACATTTACTGGAATTTCGGTTTCTTGGACATTTCTATCCTTCGGAAAGACATACTTAATTTTTTTGTTTCAAAAGATAAATGCAAGCGGATTTTTGTAAAAGCATCTTGAATATCTTCTCTAAATAAGTGTGCTTTGAATTTGTGTAACAATTCTTTCGAAATTATACATTTTTATCACATTTTCATGATTTTAGTCAAAAAACGACATTTTTTGCTGTATATTTATCTATCTAAAAATAATTTCATCGGTGATTTGTTCATAAAAATTGCCACAAATAATCTTCATACATAATTAAGCCGAATGCCATTTTTAAAAAGAGGGGTCCATGAACTCGTTTTCAAGTTAAATCAGTCTGAATGATAAAATTCAGTCGAAAATGCATCTTTCCCTATATAGTTTGATGTCGTGAAACATAACATTTGACGTTAGCAACGTCATTACCTCCCCTGTAACTGTATCGCATGCCCTTAAACTATATATATGAGATTCTAATATAACAATATTGTGACTTATTTCTGAACATCGAGCGAAATTTTGAATGCTTAAAGATAACGCAAAACTGATAAAATTTGGTCATTTTTGTGTTATGCCCATGTATATTAGGGTCTGGATAGGGGTTAACAGAATAGAGAAAAATGGCATAAATAGTTAGAATAAAATTGGGAATAGAAATGGGGAATTTGTCAAAGAGACAACAACCCGACCAAAGAGCCGACAACAGGCCACCAATGGGTCTCCAACGCAGCGAGAAAATCCCGCACCCGGAGGTGGTCCTCAGCTGGCCCCTAAATGAAATTGTATACTAGTTCAGTGAAAATAGAATACAGAAATGAAGGACCCCCTTCCAGACCCTCCTGTATACACATTGGCAATAATAGAATGTGTTCTTGTTCCAGAAATTCAGTTCAGTTTTTCATACTGAAGAAAACCAACGTCCTGATTTATATGATAAACGAGAAAAATATGACAGACAGCAACATACAACAACAAGATAACAGATATATAAGTTATCAGAATGGGCATCGGACTTCATACTTCAAGAAAGGCGACAATAAAATCATCATAGATACCAAACAATTTTCAAACGATTTATTAGAAAACACTCAGACACATTTAAACGTGTAACATGAGGTCAAATATATAATACAATATATGTAAATAACATGACAGAACAATTAAACATATTAAAGTCAATACACATAGCTCATTAGCATCAAACAGTGTGAATGATTATGCAGAAAGATATACAACACATATGGATCGAAATGACAAAACACAAAAACTTAACGACCAATAATCCATGAAAATGAGGTCAAGGTTAGATGAAACCAATAGTATGGTTTTCGACAAATTAGATCAGAAGCTTATTTAGGAAACTTTACCTTAAATAAAACAAATGAATTGGTGGACAATTCTGTAAATTTTAAAGTAGAAAAAAATGATGAAGCAGATGAAGTACATGATTCAGACTTAAATGAAGTTCTGTCAAACATTGCATACATTGAACGTGAAGATCAGTTGAGGACATTACCACGTGAAATTATTGCTTCTTGTTCTGTCTAATAAGTTTTTATGACAAATATTTGTGAATGTATTGTGACATGCATATTTTACATCACAGTTTTGTGGTAAGATGATTTTCTTCAGTGGTTTGTCCTTAGATCCAGCATGAACTGCACATTTCAGTCTTGAATTTGCAACCTACGTTTGACTTCATCTAATGATATTACAATACAGTCTCTGAAATTATTTTCAAAGTACACTATAGGAACATGTTTGTTGTATATCCTTTTGTATCGTTTTGTCCATCAGGCCTAATTAACTTTTATCAGAGACATATATACACATATAAATAAACCGAGTAAAAATTAAATTAAAACACCCATTTAACTTTCACTTTTCTTTAAGGTCACAAATAAGTAGATATATAATAATTTCATAAAAACACAAATATCAAGACAACCAAAGATTTGTTTATAAATGTTGACTGAGTTAACTCTAGTAAAAATATGACAGAATAAATTAATTAAAGTCTGTTTTGATAATTGAATCTATTATATTGATTTGTTAGAATTATCCCCCTTGGTCATATAAAATTCTCTTATTACACTTTTGTATGCTTGTTTTACTTTATAAAAAAAGGAAATACAGAAAAACAAATAATGTTTCAAGAGCAGGATGCTAAATTTGGAAACGATAGATACTTTTTAATTTTTACTGGATTATCTCTCTTTGTACCATAGAAACTCAATATTCATGGCATCAGATATCATAATTGTACTATGTTCAATGTTATTCTTACTAAAATTGTTAAATATTATAATGGTTTTGAAAAGTTAACACTTAAATTTACAAAATTATCTACAGATTAATATTTTAAATCTGTTAATTCATTGAAATTGTAAATTTAGGCATTTTTTACGAGAGTTCTAGAAAGTACTTAAACAAGAGTCCACTCTTTTGACTAGCTTAAATGTGTTATTAACTCTTTCACTTAACCTAACAAATGGAAGAATAGTTATATTTTTTATGGACCAAAGCCAGGATAGTTTTAAAGAAATGTACTTTTAAGATTTTGGAAAATGCATTTTTACTGGATTATTTCCTTTTGTACCATAGAAAATCAATATTTATGAGGGTGGGGGTCCTTCATTTCTGTATTCTTTAAATTTTAGGCCATTTTTCTCTATTCTTTATATTTTAGCACCTCGTCATTCTCTATTCTTTATATTTTTGGTCCATTTTTCTCTAATCTTAATATTTTTTGCCCATTATTCTTTATTTTGGATAACCCCTATCCACACCCTAATTTATGGCATCGGATATTGTATTTATACTATGTTCATTGTTACTCTGACTAACATTTATTATGCTTTGAAAAAGTAACACTATCATGTCCAAAAATATCTACAGATTGATATTTTAAATTCATAATCTTTCAGTGAGAAAAATTGTAAATTTAGGTATTTTCTGAGGAGAATTATAGAAAGAACTAAAACAAGAACCCACACATGTTATTAGCTTAAAGGCTTAAAGGCATGATTGAGTATTTCACTTTAACAACAAATGGAGATACTATGATGATTGTTACTTTGACCAACTTTGCTAAATATTATAATTCTTTTTATAAAGTAAGTTATATTTCCAAAATTATCTACAGCTTAATATTTTAAATTCATTGATTCATTGAGAGAAATTATAAATTTAGGCCTTCTTCATGAGAGTTTTAGAAAGTACTAAACCAAGAGCCCACAAATCGTAGTAAAAAAACTGCATTATCAACTCTTTCACTAAAAATATCAAATGGAGTTATGTTTACATTTTTAATGGACTTAAGCCTGAATAGTTTTTAGCTCACCGGGGCCCGATGGGGCCCATTTGAGCTTATGTCATCACTTGGCGTCCGTCGTCTGTGGTCGTCGTCTGTCGTCGTAAACTATTTCAAAAATCTTCTCCTCTGAAACTACTGGGCCAAATACCTTCAAACTTTAACTAAATGTTCCTTAGGGTATCTAGTTTATAAATTGTATCCGAAATTT